AAATTAGCAAGCAGTTAGACTGAATTTACATTCGTTTTAAACGCAGAGCCAGGCGCGAGTCGACACAGGTTGCGCGCGTGCGTCAAGCCTCATCCATACTGCCAGATGCGCTCATGAAGACTTGCAGTGCAGAGCCGTGCGGCAAGCGTGAACGGCTCGTCCGTGACGTGGGATTCCCGCCGCGTGGGGCAGAGAAGAGCGAGTATGAGAAGCATTCACAGACACAGGCTGTGTGTGCGCTCTTCTGAATTGGGAATGCAACATGCATCAAACTTATTTCAAATTAATCTGTTGGGGAGATAAAATGTGTAAGATAACGTTCACGTACTAACAAAAACATCTAAGAATGTATCTTTTATTCTCCAGTACTGAAAACAGAACCGATACGGGAGCTTTTGATATGCACTGTGACGCAGCTCTTGGAAATTACCTTTTTTATTCATTGTCCGTCATTTCAAAGCTTAAGTTGCAAATATTTTATCAGGAGTGTTTATGCTCGGATGTAGTGGAACTTAGGAGATGTTACAGATCCATTTCATGTAAATTTCTTCGATGTACTGAAAAAGTCTATAAAGATTACTTTTATGCGGGCTTTTGCGGGCGGGAGCGGGACAAAACATGAATGTCGTGGGCGGGAGCAGATAAGATATATTTCTGCGGGAGCGGGCGGGCGCGGGACAGAATCTTGCGGGAGCGGGACTGAAAAATCCGTCCCGCACAGGTCTCTAATTTGAAGCCATTTGCGCATTTTGAGAGAGAGAGCGGTGATTCACTTACTCTGTGAAATTATGTCTCACAGAAAGTTTTTAAATTACTTTAGAAGTTATTTAATGAAGAAATATGAATTGTACCTCACCTTCAGCATTATAATTATTTCACCCGTGCCGGACAGAGACGGAGCCACTGTAGGTCATGTCAAACCTCTCACGGCAGGTGCATCATCAGCTTGAGATCGGTTTATGAGATCAGCCTTTTTAGAGACCACTGATCAAACATCCCAAAGCAATTATCGGCTGATAGTGATCGGTAGTTGATCAATCGGAGCACCCCTAGTTTATTCCAAGCGCATGCTCGTCTGCCGCTTTAAATTCTCCAGCTCATTACAGCAGGATGGATTCTGATTGGGTGTCAATGTTTGTATCATTCATCAGCTGGAAAAAATTGTTCTGAAAGTGATTCCAACGATATAATTTCTCTGTGCCTTTATTGTTAAAGCTGTGGTGTGAACTCTGCTATTCTTTAATATTGAGAATTTTTTTAATTATATCTTTATCTTTATAGTTATCCTTGGTGTGAACGGGCCTTTAACATATTTGAAAACACAAAGCGTCACCATGGCATGGCTGTGGCGGCAAAAATACTAAAGTGTAAATAAAAGTTATGCCTTCTTTCTTTGCGTAAACATTTGTGCTGCTATGCAAATCTTCCAACACAGTGATGTAGATTTGTGGGGGTGTATTTTAATGAGGCATTTTAGGAAGGCGTGGACGAGTCTTTAACTTTTATAAAGAACATCTCTTTGGGCTTGAGACTTTAGTCTTTGGAACTTTACAGATCTTATGTATTGCCAAACAGCTTGTAACACGCCAAAGATAAAGAAACTTGAAATCGCATCATATGACCCCTTTAATATTTTTGTGGAAACTGTGATACTTCTTTTCCAGGATTGTGTGATATATATTATAGAAAGATCAAAAGAACAGCATCTTTTGTATTACTATAAAAGTCTTTACTGTTAGTTTTGATCAACTAACTTAAAAAAAAAAAAAGACTTTTAAATGGTAGTGCACGTTGCATGCATTTTTTAAGCCAGGCCTAACTAAAGCTTTACGTCTGACGTTCAGAACAAACACAAGCGCACACGCCCTCTCATACACCCACACACAGGGAAGTGGTCAGGAAAGAGTTAATCCTGAGTCATTCTGAACACCACCCTGCCAAACCCATAAAACATACAAATACTCTCAGAGTATTGGAAACATCTTCCATGTATTCACACTGTCGTGGTCCTCACGCACCACCTATTTGGGCCTCTTGACATTAATCCCTTGACATTAGCCTGTGAGCTGGAGAGCTGGTTCAGCGGTGACAGCATGATGACAGCGAGAAGAGGGTGAACCACAGGACCTGATTGTGATCCATACGCATAGGCCTATTTAGAGCATGCCAAGAAAATTAAGAGCGCTACCGGTGTCATTATGATGATGCATATTTAAACACCATTTTAAATGATAATCTACATAATAGGCTCAATCCAACTAGGGCTGCACGATATTGGAAAAAACTTGCATTGCGATATTTTATATTTCTGCGATGTATATTGCAATATGAAAAAAAAATATCAATGATTGGGGTGATTTTGTAGGTGATTAAATCAGCATAGAAAAATAAATAAGTTACAAACAGATAAATTTAATAGAACATAGACCTAAATTAAATAAACCGTGCTTTATATTTTTCCGGTAAGTCCAACAGTATTCAGGTATACTGGTTGTATAATGAAATGTAAAATAACACTGCATAGTCTTCACTATAAATTAAATTAATAAATCTGTGTTTAAGCTACAAAAGTGATTTTTTTCTCTGTGTTTTGCTGATTGATTAACATTCATGACAAAGCCTTAGGAACATTAAACTGCTGTGAACCAATATACTGTTACACATTCATTTTCTTTCCCAGTTGTTTACCTTCACCTAAGACATAAGCAACCGTGTTTACAAGGATACTTGCAGAGACATGCATTTTGACAGTTTCATGCGTATGTGAACGGAATTCAGTGTTCTCGTGCATCTGCACGTGGCTCTCACCGTGTCTACACTGGACGCGAGGGGCACAGAGCGACACAACAAAATACAATACAACCCATTATAATCAGCGTTCTCTACGCTGGATGCAGCATGACAAATCCCCGAGAGTAAATCCCTCATTCTTTTTATGACGTACTGACACAAAGTTCAAAGGATTTGCAATGGTCACTTTGTCGCATCCAGTGTAGACAGCATGGGGCGGCGCAACGCGACAGGTGTTGCGAAAACAATCAGCATAAATATAACGATCAGTATACTAAACATCGCATATCCTGCGATGTGACAATCGCGGAAGCGCACATCACGATATCGATGCATCGTGCAGCCCTAAATCCAACCATCATGAGGACAACACCTAAAAGGTGTATACAACAATTCTTAGCTGTTAAACATCCTTTTCTAACACTTTTGTCTTCTGTCATGTAATGACACCAACCAAAATGAATTCAAGCCACTTAAAGCGATAGTTCCTACAAAAATTATAATTATGTCACCATTTACTCACCCTCATGACGTTTCAAACTCGTATGACTTAGTTTGTGTTTACAGAAAACAAAAAGACAATATTTTAAAGAACTGTTTTTGCCCACATAATGAAAGTCAATGGGGTGCAAAATGACACCAGACTCCTTTGACTTATCGCATGGACAGTTCTTCAAAATCTTACAAGTCATACAGGTTTGTAATGATATAAAAGGCAAGTAAATTAAAGAATTTTCATTTTCATTTTCACTAACATCCACAAGTGTGTGGCCTCAGTGCCCAAATATTTTCCCACAGTGCTCGCCATTACAAGAGATCTGCATGGCAGTCTTGTGCTTCGGATTCTGCCAATACATCTGTGCCTGTCACAGATCTGGACAGACTTTAAGGAAGCCACTGAGCAAACAAAGGGGTCCCCTCATCTGCTTTTATTACACTGTCAATCCTCCAACCTCCCCACTCGTGCAAATACATCTTTTATCAATCAGCATCAGATGAACAACTGCAAACTCAGCACGCTCTCTGAATGGCAGGCTGGGTCAAAGTTTCACACAGTGTTCAATCGTGATAAAGAAAAGAGCGTTCACTGCTGTCGTCATTTGATCATGTCTACAGTCGTACCGATCGGGTTAACAAATGATGACCAATGCCCTTTATCTACGGTTACTATCAGACCTCTAATCTCTCTGCAGATGAACTCAGTGTCAAAGTTTGAGGTACTCGAACATAAAAATGTTCACAGTCACTTTTGATCAATTTAATGCATCCTTGTTGAATAAAATCATTTTTTAAGAATAATAAATCTGACCACAAACTTTTAAATCGACGTGTATCTGAGAACACAATCTGAAATGTTATGACTACATATTATAACTAACATCTAGTCAAATTCAGTCTAAAGAAAAGCTGTCCTAGACAAGATATGAAACATGACTTGCAAAAGAGAGCACTAAACTATACATTTTAAAGTATGTATCCATATACTTAAACATGAGAAAGATTTGCTGCATTATTTATTAAGTGAAGTAAGATTTTGAACTTTCACAAACTGTACAAGAGATACAGTTATGAGTACAGAGTAATGGAAGAGCATAAGAGGTTAAAGCAAAAATTAGCTGTGCAAAATATAAATCAATAATTTAAATTAGAATTAAACTTACAAGAGCTCAACTGATCGACAATTTCAGCATGAATCTCAGGCCGTCCTTATAAACACCCAGTAACGTCAAGGCAAAAGTAACCAACTGTGGTAAGCATGAAACCAAGGCTAAATGTAAGACAGCACACTGTAGGTTAAAAGGACAAATGAAGCGTTACATGCGAGTGAGAAAAGCTTCAAACATGTCAGAGAAACAGAAGTAGAGCTGACAGGAGCCGAGGTGATTACATAATAAACTGAATTCTTACTAACAGTGAGGACGAGCCGATGGGATTATTTCTGACGCGCGCTTGTTTGTCTATCGCTGCTACCGGACAAACAAACGCAATAAAACTCGGAACCTACACACAATAACAACAACAGTGTTTCTTTGTCGTATCCAAACGGAAAGTGGGCGGTAATGTCAGTCTAATATCGTTATAGCCGCGCTTGTGTGTCAGCTCGCTCGTTACACAACAAGCCTCATACTTAGCAATGAAATCACGCGCTGGTTAGCTTAGCATGAGCTCTCGTCGAGCAAACCCGAGGCCCCACACATCCCCATACTTACATTTCCAGATATACTGCGGATGTCAGCGCTCGTTCCCACTTCGGTCTCTCGGTTGCGGGTATTTTCGGAGTCGATAAGCTTGTCGCTTCTTTTAAAAACAAACAATCAAGGTGACTTCACGTGAGAAGCGATCATTCCGTTTACGGTGATTCTCTGCTTTGATAGCGTGAATTTTTGCGCATGTTTGACGCCAACGCAGATGTCCCTGAACAAATCTGTCGACTTATTGACTAAATCTGTCTAAGTTTCGTATCAGTATGGGATCATGGTGTGGGATAAATCATTACATAGATCCGAATAATCAGCTTCTGTAGGGAGGCCAAGATATCCTTCGGTTCAGAGTCTTGTGCGTCTTGATGGAGGGGAGGGATACTTTCTTCAAGTGGCTCGATGATTGGCCAAAACTCTACTAGGCGTGTTTGCTAATTGGATTATTTTGCTGACAGCTAAGACTACAGATGGCCAATCCCACGATTTGATTGGCTTTCGTTTTGTCATTTTACCGACAAGACGCTTGAACAGTAGTTTACATTAAACACAGACCTCCTGCTTTTAAAGGATGTAATGTTTGGCTTCTTTAATATACAAAAAGATCAAATGAATGAATATTTTATTATTAACCTATTATTACTTCTTGCAAAATTTCATATTCACCGCAGTAAATTCACTCATCAAAATCCTTTAAATATTGTTTATAAAAAAGAGGTTCAACAGTATATCCAAACTATTTCATCTTCCAAGAATCGCAAGGCTTTTAAAACGGTTAATTTATTTAATCTTTTTAATTTATTTTGCTAAATCTGTCGTTTTGTATTATTTATTTATTGTTACATGCGTCTATAAATGTATTTGCATGTAATGTCACCTCTTTGTATAATGTTGATATTCTCTGTATTTTTATATTTGGTACCTTGGCATTAATAAAAAAAATTAAAAAATAAGCACAGAACTCATAGCTAGTTTGTCATGCTGAGTGTTTCCACGGTTGAGGCGATGTGTTTTTATTACAGCAATAAGCCAACATTAGCTTAGTAATTTAACGGTTGGTTAGTAATGTATTAGTGTATATATTTATTAATTAAATACAGTGAGGTATGATATTTGTTTAAATTACATAAAAAAAAAGAAAAGTTCAGAAGAACAGCATTTATCTGAAATAGAAATCTTTTGTAACATTATAAATGTCTTTATCATCACTTTTTGCTAACATCCTTGCTAAATAAAAGTATTAATTTCTTTCCCCAAAAATAATAAATAGTGACTCCAAGCTTTTGAATGGAATAGTGTATAATGTTACAAAAGCTTTTTATCTCAGATAAATGCTGATCTTTGGATCTTTCTATTCATCAAAGAATCCTGAAAAAAAAGTGCTAAACTGTTTTAAATATTGATGATGATGTTGATGATGATCATAATAATAATAATAATAATATTTTTTTCTTGAACAGCAAATCAGTATATTAGAATGATTTCTGAAGGATCATGTGACACTGAAGACTGGAGTAATGATGCTGAAAATTTAGCTTTAATCACATAAATAACATAGCATAAAATATATTAAAATAGAAAGCAGTTATTTTAAATTGTAAAAATATTTCACAATATTTTTATACTGATTTTGCTGTATTTTAAATTTGACTGATAGTGTGTGTGTGTGTGTGTGTGTGTGTACATATATATTATATACATATATATATATATTCATATTCTTATCAATATTAATATTATTATTAAAAGTCATGTACTTTTTATAATTGTTCTGTCATCTTTTTTTTTTACCAGACCTCTTTTGCTTTTACTTGTTGATTGTATCTTTACAATGTAATCTAAGGCAAATGTATGAGTAAATTAAATTTAGCTGCAAGTAAATCATCATTATAGGAAGTAGAGCACAATGGATGCATTGTTTTTCTTTTTTTTTATTCATCTTTGTTGATTTTCACCAGTAAAAAGTAAAGTTCTCTGACTTAAATGAAATGTAAAATCAAAATAAGCAATCCTCCTCACATTTGTTTTTCATTGCACAGATATGTAACACCGTCTAGGTGTAAACAATAGTTGACCAAATATATCTAAAGATATCTACATTCCCTTTTAGTGAAGCACAGATTCTCTGAAACAAATCAAAGATCTTCTCAAACAAATCAAAGAGGGTTTATTCTTGGTCCAACTAAGTAAAATATATTTTTGGCCAATAAATAGCAGCTTTTGAGCTAAATGAATGCCATATGGTGCAAGTGTCAGATTGCTATATGTCAATCCTAGAATAAAGAGCCATGAGTCCAAGGTATAACCAAATACAGTGTCCAGTTTCCTTTTGATCTTGCTCCAGAACCCATGCATTCTCTTTCAACCTTCATGAAACACTTCTGCCTCAGTGCTTCAGCTGGATGCACCAGCTGAACTGTCCACTTCTCTGCCTACTGCGTCTGCACTAAACTGTGGTTAACCAACCAGAGAAACAGAAACACAGATGCCTTTGTGTCTTGAGAGCTGAATGGTAATAGTAGTAGGTGTCCCTATCCTGTTTTATGAATCTTTTATCGAGTTTTGAGGACAGACCACCATTGGCTGCTTGACAGCACCATCAAGTGGTCACTAGCAGCCGTTTTAACTGCAAAAAAGTAATAAAAGCTGCATAAAAGTATTTTTGTCATTTTCCAGTATCAATGTCTAAATGTTCTTAATTCAAGCTACTTTAACTTTAGAAGCAAAATTGCTTAGGATGTACATATCTTAAAAATACAGTGAGATAGGAAGAAAATTTGTATTTCAGTCTTTTTCTGTTCTTTCTCAAAACTGTTGCGTTCCCCCAATAAGCTTTGCATTTGCTCACAAAATTTTTTTGATGGAAAGAAAAGGACTTTGTGAGGGGAATAACTATATATAAGTTCTTTTGCTAGCCGATGAAAAGTTTCTCGAGGAAACACTAAATTTTCCTCCCATCTCATATTTTTTTTCTGTCACCCTGTCCCCTTAGGGCAGGGGTATCAAAATCAAACCACTGTCCTGTAGAGTTTAGCTCCAACCCTAATTAAACACACCTGAACCAGTTAATGAAGGTCTTCAGGATTAATTCGAAACTTCCAGGCAGATGTTTTGGAGCTGGTTGGGGCAACACTCCGCAGGACAGTGGCCCTCCAGGAGCAGAGTTTTTGCTTATAACAAGAAAAAATGTCTGTTTTTCTTACCCCAATGGCAGACTTTTGTTCTTGTCTTAAGCTTAAATCACTTAATTTAGATTTTTTTCAGAAACAAGACTTGTAATGTAATCTTTTGTCATTTTGCTTCTCAAGTAACTCAATGTTGATTTAAAAGTGTTTAGGTATTTGTACTGGAAAACAAGACAAGAATACAGAGGAAAAAAGTTTTTTTTGCAGTGTTACTACTTTACTCTGCACAGGCTTGACAAAGAAAAATACACAGAGCCTGGTCACATCTATGAGTCAAAACTGAAAAAAAAATTATGGAACCAACTATTAAACATAACAAGCTGCACAGTTCGATTACTAGCAGCTTATAAAAGCTGAGTGCACATTCCAACACTCCCACTTCTCTCAAGGAAGTGCAGCTCTGAGGCAGAGTTAGATTATTAGCACTGGTGACATCATGCAGCTGTTGCTGACTGGACAGCTTTGCCTGGAAGCAACATCATGTTTAAATATTTGTGAATGTCTGCATTAATGCATCTAGTATGCATGATTAATTATGCATTACTGTGTGTGTGTGTGTGTGTGTGTGTTTATGTGGTTTATGAGGACACAAATTTGTATAATGACATGGGTATGACATAGGTATTACAACGAGAAGGTGATTTATGAGGACAATGTCCCTGTAATTCAAAAGGCTTATAAATCATTCAGAAAGAGTTTTTTTTTTTATCTAAAAATGCACAAAGTTTCCTATGAGGGGTAGGTTTAGGTGTAGGGCGATAGAAAATACAGTTCGTACAGTAAGAAAACCATTACGCCTATGGAGAGTCCCCATAAACCATAAAAACCAACGTGTGTGTGTGTGTGTGTGTGTGCACGTGCGTGCGTGCGAGCGTGCGTGTGTGTACACATGGTGTGATGGTGTATATAGGCAGTCAAATCCTTTTCTGACTTTTGTCACTATGAATAAGTAGCATTCTAAACTGTAAAAATCAATATTTTTATTGGAGCATGTTTTACAAGAAAATACTATTTCAGTTTTTCCATTCAAACTTTCACTTTTAAAAGAATAGTTCATCCAAAAATTTACATTTCTGAAGATGTACTCACCCTCAGGCCATCCAAGACATGAGTTTGTTTCTTAATTGGAACAGATTTGTAAAATTCTATTAAATTTAACATTACATCACTTGCTCACCAGTGGATCCTCTGGAGTGAATGGGTGCCGTCAGAATAAGAGTCCAAACAGATATTAACATCCTGTGAAGTGAAAAGTGTTCATAAGAAACAAATCCATCATTAAGGCAGGTTTTTCAATGGAGAAAGCAATATTATGGATAGAGGACTCGTATTTTAGGTGAAAGCAATTGGAAGTTAAAACGTCTATCAGTGATGGATTTGTTTATTATAAACGCACAGCTTTTTGCTTCACAAGACAGTAATTGATGGACTGGAGTCGTGTGGATTACTTGTGGAGTAGTGTGATGATTATGATCAGCTGTTTGGACTCTGACGGCACCCATTCACTGCAGAGGGTCCATTGGTGAGCAAGAGATGTTATGATAAATTCCTATCTTGGATGGCCTGATGGTAAGTAAATGTTCAGCAAATTTGTATTTTGGGGCGAGCTATTCCTTTAATTCATTGTGTTACTTGCCTTTTCTTTGTAATTGTTTGTGAAATTTACTAGCAATATCTGAGTGAAAACTGTTTCTACACCATTTTGTTCAGTGTATCACACAATACTTCACACACTCCATTTGACCCTCACTTTTCCTTCACAGTCTGATTTTATTCTTTGTGAATTCTTTGTGAACGCTTTGAGGGGATTCACTTCACATTAAGCACGCTGTCCACACAGCGTTAAATATTGAGCGAGCGTGTCATTTGTTTTTATAATTTCTCTTGCCACAGGTGCTGTTGGCAGCCCGAGCTTGGAGACCTCAAGAGGTAACGGCATTTTGATGAGCCGTCAAATGAGTGAACAAAGCAGGCTGGAGGCTTTAGTCAGGCAGGCTAGTTTATTTCATCACTTGTGACACAGAGCATGCACATGGATAGTCAACACTCCCCAGCCTGCCTTTGTTTCTGGCCACATCTGAATGTTTTCTGCCACGACAGGCTGTTTTCTTCAAGCTCTTGCATGCCTTGTCCTTGTGAAAGCCTCTTTCTCATTCACCCTTGTGCCACATCTTCTCTCCACTGTGCCAAACCGAGAAGGAAATTGCTTGTTTGTGA